GATCACATAATATTTCAAAAATTTTAACTTTTGAGTATAGATGATCCGCACTGTATTTCCCAGACTAATAATAAAGCGAAAAATAAGAATTATCATACGTGGTACAGTTATATGAACTTCTATGCAGATTCATCCGTGATGTGATTGGTTGGTAATTATTCCAGTTTAACGATCAGGCTCCGGATCTAATTGGCATTATATTGAGGCGTGATGTAATTTACATAGTTCAATAATTAGGCATTTGCCAACCTCCAGCTAATTTTACCCTTCACTTTACGCTTTCGAATAGGGTGTTTCTTTGCAGATACAGTCATGTGCATATTATCTTCGGCATCAGAAAGAGATTTCTTAATCATATTCGTAAGCTCCTCCAATTTTAGGCCAAGTTTACTCTCACCAGAGGCAGTCGTATAATGGTCAGCTTTGCTCTTCTTCTTTTGAGGACAATTGTAAGAATTGGATTCTGATGAATCGGTCTCTGTTCTAGAATCAGAATGGTCTAATGATTTATTTTTACTAGAGCTGACTTTGTTAAAATCGTTTTTGATCGGAATACTCATACCATCTATTTCATTTTTGTATAAAAATCATTAATTTCAGAAGAAAACCCGAAACCTATTTTTGCTTTATGTATCCATAACCAATCTTGTCCTAATACCAGATCAAATGGTGGATTTTTTCGAATTATAAAGTCAATTGTTTCAATACCATCCAAGCTTTGCCACCTCCCTTTATAATGAAATCGTAAATCTAGACCTTTTATTTCTTCACCTATCAGATCATCACCGAATTGACATTCTAATCCGTAATCAGATTCAAGCTTATTTGCTAATAGTATTGGATTTAGATGTTATATTGATTAATGCTTTAACTGGGGTTTTTCCTTCTACTAGCGTATTGATGAACATGTTAAATATATTTAATGATGTACAGTGTGTAATGAAAAAAAATGACCTCTAAATTTGTTTTCTAAGAAAGTAACCAAAATCCAAAGCCGCATAATAAAAATTATGTCAAAGAATCAAAAGATCATAAATTATTACATGTAAAAATTTTGAAGCATATTATTATGTAGGCTTTAGAGCAATGATTAAAAAACTTTGCATTGAAATTTTTCTAGTTGAATTTCTTTTATTTTTAATTGACAAATTTTTAGAAAATATGGGTACATATAGTTTTATATAAATGATCTTCGGAACTTAAGCTACAAATTAATATATATTTTTTATATGATTATTATGTGTGTTTTTGTGTTAAAGCAATTGTTAAAAAGTTTCATGTTAAAATTTCGGAGGCAAAAATTTAAAAAAAATTAAAAAAAGAGACATGATTTGACCTTACAAAAAATTGGCAATAGTATTTTATATTGAGTTTTTTTTTAAATAAAGTAATTGATTGACTTTTAAATGAATCTAATTTTGTTTAATTATCTCATGTATTTCTTGGGTAGTTTAATTTTTTGTGAGGTCAATTTTTTTCGTTACACACTGTATATAACATTATATTTGTTAGTCATTATTAGCGAGACTTGCGATTGTCATTATCAAATTCTGTGCATGATTTACATCAAATGATGATGTGTTAGAAGGTTATAAATACACACACTGCCGTCAAAATTAAACGACGTGACGCAAGACGCAATCTATGGTGCAATTGACGCAATTGGCGCAACCTGTGACGCAAGACGCAATTTGTGACACAATTGACGCAATTCGTGACGTAAGACGCAATTAATGGAACAAACTACATGTAGACAACTAAATTCTCTTGTACATTCGTTATTAAAGATGTGAACCGCAATTAACCGCAATTAATTGAGGAGCCATCTTTATTCGTTATACCAAAATTACTAATCACGAAGCAGAAATTTTAAAAACTCATTGTAACGTGAATTTAATAATCAGTGAAAGATTTGTGTAATCCTTTTATATTTGACAAAAAAAAATTTTTAATCTGATATTCGTGAAACCATATTAAGATTACATTCAACCTTTAAAAATGCATAAATAGTTTTACTTTAGATAATTTATATTAGAAATTTTATTTAGAGTCAAGATTATAAATGGTCATTGTACTAGAATATTCCATACACATGGTTTTGTTTTTTTGATGATATGTGACAGTTGACTTTAGTTCGTCAACCAATTAAAAATTCCATTGGAATTCTTGGATCGAAAAGTGTACCACTGGCTGCCTTGCATCTACAGTTTATTATATATTAGCAATTACAAATAGGACCGGTACAACTTTCCAACAAGTCGATTTTCTGACAACTCAATAATGACATAACATGGTCATGGAAAGAAAACAAAGAAAATATTACGATAAACTGATAGAATGTATTATATAGAAAACATCCCGTTGGGGAAATGGGTGCAACACTTACAAACCACACTTATCAAGATTTTCATAACTATTGTATTGATCATTTAATGGGATGGAATGAGTTTGAACATTCAACCAACTATGAAAGTATTTTTTCAAGGTCCAATTCGAATTGGAAAAATGGACAGAATACGTTCAAACTCAGAAAATCAAATGTAATTTTTGAAGTCTATCAACCGAACAAATTGAGATGCAGGCACACACATTGTCTAACTCATTTAGAAGAAATTGAAGATAATGTGTGTGCTACAATTGGAAGTTTATGTAAATATTTCTGATCAAATATTTGCTGACTGTTTTTTAAGTTTAAAAGAAAATGATGATGACAATAAAAATATTGAAAATTATATTAGAATAGAATTTCAAATTTTGATGCAATTTATTACATAAAATAAATTTCAATTGTGTTTTTAAATATTCTGTTAATAATTGAGTCATGCGTCACGCACGAATTACAAACTGTGTCTTGAGTCACGAATTGCGTCTCGCGTCACGAATTATGTCTTGAGTCACGAATTGCGTATTACGTCATGAATTGCGTCTTGCGTCAGTTGCATAAAATTATGGTAAGTGATGCAATGTTGATTTTTAATTGTATCGTGACTCAATTCAATAATTTCGGCCACATGTCATGTATAGTCAGAAAGAAGTTTTTAGATAAATTTTATGGAAATGCTAAATTAACAAACGATGAATATTATGAAAAATTGAAAGAGGAAAACTAATGGATAATGGAACTCTCTAAAATTTTATCTATAATCTTGTAAAAATATGGAAATGAATTTTATCAAAATATGGAAATATATTTGGATACCAGTGTTGTGACCAGAAACTCTCTTGACTTCCCGAAACGTTTCGGAAAATGAACCTACACTAAGCAGAAACCTAAGCATAAACTACTAACCTAAACTAGTTTCTGGTGGTTTCTGTTAGTTTCTGTTTGGGGTCTTCCCTAAACTCAGAGTTTCGGGTCACAACACTGTTGGATACAGATAATAATTTTTCATTCAATTACCCAAATTCAACAATTGTTGTTAAAATAGCACCTCTTATATAACTTTTTCCACAACTTTCTGTGCCACGCCGCCAATTTTGAGAAATCAAAAATGCAATAAAAATTTTACAGTCACATGATCGTCAAGTGCTAAAATAAATATATTAATTTTTCTTTTACATTTATTCCTATATATACATATGTAAATGATGATTAGAACAATAAACAACAACAATAATGACTATAGTGATGTGATTAAATATCAGTTAAAATAAAAGAGAAGTTTATACAAACTATTGGATGATTGATAAAACCTTTGTTAGTATATTTTGTTCATAGATCTTGCTTGTCCTTAAAGCTTACTTCAATTACTCCTACACAAACTGTTAAATAATTGATAAACATTCATTAGAATATTTTGCAAATCACATATTTCTTTGATTAATGCAATATTCTATTTATTAGATTTAAAATAAATGAACTTAGCTGTTCTTTGTATTTTTTTAATAATAAGGATAATTTTCTTCCCGTTCATCTGGGAAATTCACGTGACAAAAGATCTGCAATATAAGGAAATTTTTCAAATTTTTATTTTGTTTCAATTCATCTATTTTTGATATTAACTTTTTTGTGTGTAACACGTTATTTAGGGCTAAACATATATAGTAAATTCAATAAACTCGTGCAACTTTGAAGCTCAAATTCTCCACAACAACATGAGATGAAATCGTGATTTTGTAGATTTCAAATACACGATTTATTTTGGGGTGCTGCATTTGTATTTTTGGAGAATTTGAAAATCTACACGACCAATTAAAAGTTGCGGGACTTAGTGACTTGCATCATATTAGCTTTATGTTAAGGCGCAGTCGAATTTCGAACATAAGTGTAACACCCCTTTATTATTATGACATGTGTAACCCCCTTTATGATGACACTGTCAAAATACTTTTGGCTGCATGTATTAAATGAATTATAATTAGTAGTATTAAAGGCAAATTAATTGACAAATAGTTGTCAAGGATTCTTTCATGATAAGCCAGGTGTAGCAATTAATTGTTTAAAGTACTTGAAATAATAATATAAATAACTAAATGACATATCGAGTATATAACTATATTGCTGATCACAGAACTTTATGAACCCAAAAAATTATTTATTTAACCAGTTAATTAAAACTTTCTAAAAGATAAATATTAAAAATAAAAAAAGCATGTGAATTTATACTAATTTAAATAATTTTCTATGTTGTATGTTATTCAAGATAATCTTTTTTAACTCTTTTATATAACAGAATAGATAATAAAAAAATACTAGTCATACATCCAAGGGCACTAAAATAAAAGGTTGTATTATAACAAGCGTAACCGTGACAATCATCTTTGTGTAGATCATAATTGAAGCCGAAAAGTAGATTGAACAGCTGACCTCCGATTGCCGGAAACTATAATTTGTTTTAATATTGAGAAAATTAGGGGTGGGAGAATTTGATAATTAAGATAGGAGAAAAATATGAATTGATTGATTGACTTACAATTGATATTATACCCCTACAAACATTAAAATATTTATTACTAATATTATTTTGAATTTTCAATTCATCACAAAATTTAAAAAACTCTTACCAATTCAATCCGAAATTTTTATTACCAAACCATTCGGAAACGATGGTTGGACTAACACCAAACAAATTTCCAAATCCATAACCAACAAAAACACTAACGATCCATAAATCACTAACACGTTTAATATAAATAGCTGTCATCAAATTCCCAATTAATAACCAAGTCCCGGCCAAAATCAAATACCATAACCTTCTAAGATTAAATAATTTTTTTGTCACATCTGAAAACGCCCCAACGCTAATTCTACCTAAACACGAAAATATTGAGATCAGCGAGACATGATAATTTTGCAGATTTTGTAATATTTCAGGAGATGAAGGATGTCGTGGTTCGTAATAAAGAGATTTTATGATTGTACCAACATTATTAATATACATTAATCCTACTCCACCAAGAAAAAATATTGAACAAGTTAATAATATAGCATTATTATTTTTTAAAAAATTCCATCCTGCTATATCCATATCTGATGATGATGGCGATCTTAACAAAGGTGATGTTTCGGTATGTTCGTGTTCTCCTCCATCAATCGCTACTATTTCATCGTTATTATCGTTATTGAGCGACGACGATGATGATGGTGGAGGGATAACGTTTAGAAACCAACCACCAACAAACAGAACAGACCCGGTTGTAATCGACAAAAATAACAAGAGATCGTAAACATTGTCTTTAAAAATCAAATTATCGATTTGTGCAAATGTGAAAGCCGATAATCCAAATAATGCTAATGGTGCCCCGAACGCTATTCCACGATACGAAGTAAAATTTTTTGCCTATCTTATTATATATTGTGTATGTGTCGTGGGCGTGAAAAAATGAAAACAAATATATGAAAAAGAGTAATAGCTATATCGAAAGAGAGAGATTAAATTACTCACAATAGTTCCCAGGCATGACACGATACCTAGTTATAATAATAACTATTATTATGTGAAAAAAAAATTATTTTCAAAATCACACAAAATCAATAACTTTACCTGCAGATGATGCAGCACCGGCTAAAAATAAGTAAATAGCACATAACATGAATGAGTGAACACGGAAATATCCTGCATATGTCATTGCTAAACTAAAATATCCAAAAAATACTAAAATCGAAGCGACTAATGTTGTTCTATAAAAAAAAAAGGGTCAAAATTTTCATTCTTTCATTTTTTCGTCTTTGCGTGGAATTTTATAATATACATACTTTCTTGGACCATAACTATCCATGATATATCCATTCACCGGCATGCTCAAATAAACTCCATAATTTGCAAAACTACCAATAGTGTTGATTTCTATCGAGCTATAGCCTAATTTATCTGCCAAGGCTGTACTATACGAAGAAAAAAGATATTGAGTACCGCATACTGATGCGATTAGCAATGCCGCAACGTATGATAATATTAATTTAGTTGCTCTACTGCTACTATTATTGCTACTACTAAATAATGATAATGGTGGCATATTATTAGTGTTATTTAGAACTTTTATTATTATTTCAAAGAAGAATCAAATCAATCGATTTTTAAAAAACCGAGGCAAAAAAAGATAAGGAGAAAAAAGGAATAATTTTATTATTGTTGTTGTTGTTGTTGTTGTTATTATTATTATTATTATTATTATTATTATTATTATTATTTATCATCCTTTTCATTTCATTTATATAAATAAAATGTGTATGTAAATCCTTCATTTTAAAAATTAAAATTCAGGGTTGGTATATAAAAAAAACCGTTTATATATTTAATTATATAAAACTTGTCACGTCACATGTTACGGCCTTATTTGCTTTTTTTAGAATAATAAAAATAAATTCATACTAATTGAAATCAATGTTTGTTGATTATCTAATCTAAAAATATTTATTATTGACATATTGAGACAATGTGCTTATTATTACTATGCGTGTAACAATGTCGCTTTCAAATATTTTGGTTTGGGCGAAAAGATTGCATACTTTGTAATCGTAAATCGCAACACTTCAAACTGGTATCCTATTGGCATCCTTTTTTTTACACTTTATTGTGACATGTTTTCAATGGATAACGGTCAAATGTTTTAATGTCTTCCTCCAAAGGTTCAAGAGTCAATTTCACATTGCGGCCACTGTATAACCAAATTTGTTTTTTACATAATATTATTATTACGATTTGTTGTCACATTAATATTAATTTGATCCGTGTAACCATTAAATTTTTATAACAAACTCCGTCAGTGATAAAAAAATATACAGAAGAGAGATTGAAAGTCTGGAAGGATATTGAACACTTATTTGATAAAGACTGTGAACAAGAAAAATAATTGTTGCAAAAAGCTTCTACAACAAAAAACCAATCCAAGAAGAGTGGATTATAGTTGTTCGCCATAGTTTTTGCATTTTCCAAATATTATGGACATGAATAGTTATACGTTAATACGCCATTTGGTTTAATAATTACGGATATAATTTGTTTTGCCTTCTGTTAAAATTGACCACACAACTATGAAAAACTAATTACAACATTATGGATATGGCAACGATTATTTATTAAGAGGGGCAACAACTATAGAATAGATTAAAGAGATGGTAGGTATTAATATTTTAATTATAATAAAAAAAGGTAACCAAAGAATAGGTAATATTCATAAATGGCTTTTGATCCAAAGTATTTCTTCCCATGTAATTTCTCTGGCAGTTTTTATCTTGTATTTAATATTCACATGTATATATATAAATTAAAATCATTATGTATTTTCTCAAAATAAATAAACATTACTTATCTTTTTGTCATTATTAATTCTCCTTGAGCATGAATAACCTTATCCCCATTATTGTATCAGTATTCTTGATGAGGATGCTACATTTGATACTATTTATTGTTCTTAAATTCGTAAAAAATAAATAAATAAAGTTGATAAATTACATCACCCAAGTAATGACAATATATATAGAAACAAAACTTTGAAGAAACCAATTTTGGAAAAGCCGCATAAAAATAAAAATGGCAGTGTGGTAACTTTTATTTCCCTTAAAAATGAATATCCAATCACAAAAGTGTATTGAAAGGTGGAAAATAGACCCATGATTTTTAATCCATGACTGACTTCTTTCCATGTAGGAAGGACAGTGGCCCATTGTATAGTCAGAAAGAAGTTTTTAGATAAATTTTATGGAAATGCTAAATTAACAAACGATGAATATTATGAAAAATTGAAAGAGGAAAACTAATGGATAATGGAACTCTCTAAAATTTTATCTATAATCTTGTAAAAATATGGAAATGAATTTTATCAAAATATGGAAATATATTTGGATACCAGTGTTGTGACCAGAAACTCTCTTGACTTCCCGAAACGTTTCGGAAAATGAACCTACACTAAGCAGAAACCTAAGCATAAACTACTAACCTAAACTAGTTTCTGGTGGTTTCTGTTAGTTTCTGTTTGGGGTCTTCCCTAAACTCAGAGTTTCGGGTCACAACACTGTTGGATACAGATAATAATTTTTCATTCAATTACCCAAATTCAACAATTGTTGTTAAAATAGCACCTCTTATATAACTTTTTCCACAACTTTCTGTGCCACGCCGCCAATTTTGAGAAATCAAAAATGCAATAAAAATTTTACAGTCACATGATCGTCAAGTGCTAAAATAAATATATTAATTTTTCTTTTACATTTATTCCTATATATACATATGTAAATGATGATTAGAACAATAAACAACAACAATAATGACTATAGTGATGTGATTAAATATCAGTTAAAATAAAAGAGAAGTTTATACAAACTATTGGATGATTGATAAAACCTTTGTTAGTATATTTTGTTCATAGATCTTGCTTGTCCTTAAAGCTTACTTCAATTACTCCTACACAAACTGTTAAATAATTGATAAACATTCATTAGAATATTTTGCAAATCACATATTTCTTTGATTAATGCAATATTCTATTTATTAGATTTAAAATAAATGAACTTAGCTGTTCTTTGTATTTTTTTCAAAACTCTGCCACTATGTCTGGCGGACATTTTTCCCAAGCAGCAATTTCTTCGGCTGTATAATTTTTTCCATACCATTTTGCGGTAAATACGCTGTCTAATCTTTCTATTTCTTGTAATCTCTGCTCGCGAGAAAGAGAATTTCAATAATTTTGGGCTTTTTTCTGGGCTTGGCAAAAGTTTTCGAAAATTTGCTTTTCCTCGGCTTTTATTCTAGCCCTTAACTGTTGATAGGTTTCCGTTTGACCTTTACAGTGCTGACAAAAATCTCCTTCACCAATTGGAACAGATAAATCACATTGGTTAAACTGTGTTGAGCCTCCATAACCTAAGCCCTCGTCGTAGTGAACAGAAAATGCTCCCTGACAACGTTTTAACTTACTTTTTCTATTTTCGCTATCACTACATTCTCGACATTCACAACAAAAAGTGTCGATATCATAAGTATGATCGTCCACCAGAACCGAGTTTCCTCTCCACTTACCCATTTCCTCTAAGCGAGTTATTGATTTATTACATCTGCTACATTTTATATTTCTTTCTTCCATTAAACACATAATACAAAGAAGTTGTCCGTTTTTTTTGAAAAAGTGTTCATGGTTACAACTAGAGGCAGAACAGGTTGCTTTTAAACCCGAATATGTTTGGTAGCATTTGCTACATCTTTGATTATTAAATTGATTTGACATATCTTTTTTTAAAATTTTTAATTTTATATTTTTTTTAGTAAATTGTTTGTATTTTTAAAACGCAAGTCGCCCGACACCCACTGATTTTACTCGCCTAATATACTTCCAAAGAAGTTGTTTTTTTTTTTTTTTTTGCTAGTTCTGTCATATTGCTTATTAATTTAGTTTATTATATATAATATTTTTTGGTTGGTGGTTTATTTTGTAAAATTTATTAATGAGATACAAGGACTTATTAAACACTAATGATATCCTTAATTTGCTAACTAACAAGTTAAACTTTACTTTAAAACAAATGGGGCGGAGTGTTTTTTTCCTTTGTCCTTTTCATAGCGATAAAAGTCCCAGTTGTAGTTTTGAACCTAATCGCAAAATATTTACTTGTTTTACTTGCGGTTTTAAGGCCAGTGATATATTTAACTTTTGAGCTCAGTATAAGAAAATTAGTTTGGAAGAAGCAGTTGAGGAAATTAGCCAAATGGGTTATTTTTCTTTATCAGTTTTACAGGAAAAAAAGAAACAAGAGCAAAAATTTAAAGATAAAAAATTTTATTTGCTTTCGCTAATAACTGATATTTATCAGCATAATTTACTGACCCAACCGGGTCGGGAAGTATTGAACTATCTTCACAATGAACGCCAGATAGATAAAATAATGATTGACCGTTTTGGTTTAGGTTGTAGCATCAGTAATTGGCAATTAAGCACACTGCTTTTTCTCCAAAAAAATGATAACTTTTCCTCGGAAGATTTATTAGCCGCTAACCTGGTTTGAATAACTGAGAATAATCGAGTTTGTGA